TCCTGGATCTCAGTATGCCCAGGAGCAGCTGGTCAGCTGACCTAAGAGACCGACAGGGTGTGTGGGGATGAAGAAGCTCAGCGATGTAAGGTGGGGCAAGATTGTGAAAGCATTTCAAAACAAACATAAGAATTTTAAAATGAACTCTAAAAGACACAGGCAGCCAGTGCAGTGAGGCCAGGACAGAGGTTATGTGCTCTCTTTTACGAGTTCCTGTTAGGAGTCGTGCAGCAGCATTTTGAATCAGCTGCAGACATGAGAGCAACGACTGACTGACCCCCACATAAAGCGCGTTACAGTAGTCCAGGCGGGAAGAAATAAAAGCATGGATCACTGTTTCAAGGTGCTGCCTCGAAAGAAAAGATTTTGCTCTTGCCAGTTGCCTTAAATGATATAAACTGGACTTCACCACTGCTCTGATTTGGTTGTCCAACTTAAAACCAAGATCAGTAACAACAAGTTTAAAATAAACTTCCAGAGGTCCCAAATCTGCAGAGGGAGGACTCACAGGGACCACTGGGTCCAGTGGCAAATAAATTTGGCAGTCATCGGCATAACGATGAAATGCGATCCCATGCCTTCTAAGGATAGAACCCAGAGGCAATAAATACAGTAGTGGCCCTGAAATTGAGCCCTGTGGGACACCACATGACAGAGGAGCAGAGGATGATTCGGAACCAAGAAGGCTGACAGAGAAAGTTCGATCTGACAAATAAGACTTAAACCAATTGAGTGCAGTGCCACCAATACCTACTACATCACTTAATCGAGAAATTAGAATATTGTGGTCTACAGTGTCAAAAACAGCAGTTAGGTCAAGCAAGACAAGGACAACATGGTTACCAGAATCGCATGCCAGAAGGATGTCATTAAAAACTCTTAATAATGCAGATTCCTTGCTATGAAGAGTTTTAAAACCTGACCGAAAAACCTCAAAGATGCCATTATCATCTAGAAAATCTTTCATTTGACTAAAAACAGTCTTCTCTAAAACCTTGGAAAGTAAAGGCAGCTTGGAAATAGGCCTACTTTGCTAAAACTGAAAGTAAGGGAACATGTCACATAGATCAGTGTTTCCCAACCGTTTGGAGCCAAGGCACATATTTCACATTAGAAAAATCACATGACACACCACCAAACCAAAATGTGGCAAAAAGCATATTGATAATGTTTCCCTGCGCACCAGGTATCGCTGAATTGGCTCGGTTTGTCCCCAGTATACCATTTTTGAACACACAGTGCTGTCGGCCAATGTTAATTTGGCCGACAGCACTGCACATAAAACTGTACAACGGTAGACTGGTGCATAATAAACAAGTGAATAATGCAAAAAATAGAGATTTCTTTTATGGTAAACAGAGAGAGAGAGATGTGCAAGAAGTGTGATTTTTTTTTTTTTTTTTTTATTGTGGTGGAAGCAAAACAGCGAAGACAAAATTCATGACAATGTTTTTCAAATGTAAAGCGTAGTTTTGATCTTCTAATGCTGCTGGTTCAGTGAATTCTGGTCACAGTGATGAAACCTGCAGCTTCAGAATGTGTGAGATATCTGCTTTCAGCACCGACGACGTGTCCGCGTACGTGACCCGACAGTTGTTTTTACATCTGTTTGCAGAATCTGTTTACCTGCTCTTTAATCGTTTGCTGTTTTTGCTGTTTAGTGGTTGTCGAAATAGTTTTGTGAGCTTTAAGCTGAGATTCTGATGTTTCTGGTAAAAGCCCACCCCTAGTAATTTGTCCTACAGACATGTCTATTATGTAAAAGTAGAAAGAGACGTATGTGTAGATACAGATCAGCTGACTCAATACAGCCATGCCATGTTGTTTTAGTAGTGATAAACCTGCTGCTGGCAGAACTCCACGTGCAGTGTCTAAAAATCTTTATGCAGGATTTCCAGGAATGCAAAGTGTGCGTCAAAGTTGGACTGTTTT